ATCCCTACCATTAACAATGGTGGTTGCCAAAGCTTCAACTCTTGCCATATTTGTATACGTGTCGCTTGCAGATTGTACCTCATGATCTATTTCAAGGGTTTCAGCTCCAGGTTCTAGTATCTGTTCTAGATTAATTGCCTCAGATTTTTGATCAGATTGAATCAAATTTGTTTCAACCTGGGCAGGAGAATTTGTTTCTACAGAAGTGGTATCATTTTCATTAGCACCATCCTGATTCTGACCATCAACTTGTTTTGCCACAAGTTTTAAGGTGGTGTCCACCGTTTGCAACAGAGGGACGGCTACAGCAAGAGCTGTATTCCCAGTCCCTGGCAATTCCTTCACCACCCATTTAGAGGATTTTTTGGCTTTTTTGCAGTTTTTGTGTCCAAAGGATTTGCAAGAGGGGCAGTATTCAGGGAGATCTTCATAGTGGATAGGTTGATGAAAAGTAAGTTGTCCAAGATGTATCCAGACACCATGGGGCAGTTCCTCACTGGTATCAACCTCAACACAAATACGTGCAACAGATGGCCTTGACAGGCTTGCTGTTGCAGCATCAGTTTTCAGTGGTTTACCAATCAAATTGGCAATGGAATATAAAGCCAGAGAATCAAAAAGATGAATGGGAAGACCTTCAAGACTAATCCAAACTGGAATCAATGGGGAATCAATATTTGGATCAAAATCATGAGTCCAACGGAACACTTTCAAAATAAAGCCATTAATCTTCCAGTATTTTCGCAGCAAGCATCGCAGAAAGTCATTCTCAGATTCGAAATTAATTAAGATGTGAGATTCATCTAGCAAACTTACAATAAACTCCTTTTCAAAAGCAATTCGTTCAAAGGCCTTACAGATTGAGATTAGGCATGGTCTACCCTTGGTGAATCGACCCACGATTGTGCGAACAAACCTAGCAGACAAATTGTTGATTTCTTCATCTGAGAAGGATATAGCCGGTTGGCCTTTGTATTTCGTTGCTGGTTTATAGTCGCCCTTGATAGCTATGTCGTTGAAGCTACGAGGATGAGGGAGAGTGGTGGCCATTGCTTGAAGATGGTGGCCGGCCCGACATAGTGGCGGTCGGCTGAAACCTAGCCGGAGGAGAGATCTAGAGGGAGAGAGCATTATATATATATATCTACACACATATATATATACACATATATACATACATATATACATACATATATATATATATATATATATATATATAAAAGAGGTAAAATCATTTCATAATTTAAAATAAAATAATATAATAGATCTAGTACATTTTTTTTGATATTTTAATTTTACTTAAAGAAAAATGCAAGTGTTAATATGAACTTAAATTTTGTTTAAAATCAAAGTTTTAACCCGTTGGGTCGACCCAAACCGAATGATAATGGTGATGAACATATAGTTCTCTACTTGAACCCTCATTGACCAGAACATGAAGTAGTATGAACCCGAAGTAACCTATAATTTTAAAAAACGAAGTCATCAGTTGTTGGGGCAACCCAGAGTCCGAGACCCAATTATAAGAGGAGGCTGTGGTGTTAATATTCCTTACCTTACGTCTTATACAAGTGAATATGATGATCTTGCAAATATTCAACTAAACAAACCATTTGAACACAACACCAATGGCAAATCTTCAAAGAAAAAGTGTAGTTTTAATATTTTAAAAAAATCAGACTTTGAACTGTTTGCTAATGAGTCAAATGAAGAGTCCACTTTTTAAAAAGCAAAAAAATAATATTAAAGAACACACTTTTTGTTTTTCAAAACCCACAAACCCTGGCACACTGGGCAATAGATGTTCTAACACTGTCAAGGCTGCAAACACGCCCCTGGGATGTATTCCCTGCCAAATTACAACTAAGATCAATTAGCCACCAAAATGTCCTAAACCATGAACAA